CGTCCAACCTAATAGCGATGGCCTCCGACCTACTTGCGATGGCCTCCAACCTAATAGCGGTTTGCTCGCGGTGAAAGGCAATTCACGGCATGACTCAATCTGAGTCTGACTGCCGGAGGATGTTGGAAAATCAAGGTGAACCGAACGAACTCTACCTGTTCTTTGAGTGGGTGGTCCCCCCAACCCCCAATGAAAAGGTGACGTTTCGACGATCCACGGAAAAAAACATGGGAGAAGGTACCTTGCGAATTCTCTGAACCTGCAGGGAGTTCATCAGGTTGCCAGGCTCCAGATGTCCCACATTCTTCTTAAAACGTCTTTATTCACAAGAGTTCCAAGAGTTCCAACTTCCAACGACATCTCTGCCAACGCCGGGCGCGCCAAGCGGGGCGGCGCGTCCCTGCGCCAACTCCATATCGAAAATCCCAGAATAGACCGAGTTCGGCGAGTTCCAAGAGGTTGTGCTCCTACACCTTTGCTACTATAGTAGCGTCTTGTTACTAGTAAGGCCAGGAGCCACTAGTAGGGTCCTTGCTCCTAGTAGAAATGCCCTTTGCTACTAGTAGCGACAAACACATGTTCAACCACAGATTTGACGACAGCCAAACTGCACAGATTCTGGGGCGTTCTTTTTCGCGAACGCAGAATGCAATGCTTCAGTTCTTTTCGAACCCAGGAGAGGCCTCCCTCCTTACCTTCCTCCATCTTCCTCCGTACCCGTGCAACTTGGCCCAGTGGCCAGCAGTACTGCTGAATTTGCGAAGGTGCAGGAAAGCCAGCAGCCGTGATCTGGTTCCTTAACGGGGCCGAACTCCAAAAAAGGGCCAAGACCCCGTCGGAAGAACTGGGATTGTTCTAATTTAAAGATTTGTCCGCTGCCAGCTGATTAGATGGTTAAAAACAAAGAAGTCATTGAGATTAAAAATATCCTTCAAGCGTGTGTACATTTAATATGGTTTGGGTGTAGTGGAACCGTACTGGATGGATGAATCCAACTCACGATGTCGTTGCTTCAGTGACTTCGCCCTTCTGTTGAAACCCCAACCACCGGGCTTCGGGTGATGCTGAATCAGCGAGAAACGCTGCCACAATGCCATCTCATCAATTTCATCCAGCAGAAACGCTGCTGGATGAGGTGCTCGAATCGTTCAGAACACGAAGCTCTCTCCAACCTCCAACCTCCGTCTCCAAGTCGACGACTGCGGCGACGACGACTGGGCGACTTGGTGGTCCCTGGTTTCAGGGGGTCTGGACACGAAGAACGCCCATGTTGAAAGACAGATCACTTTGGGAAGGATTGATGTCCACCAATTCGAAGCTTGGATGCTGATTCTGCCCAATCTTAATTATGCCCCTTCAGGATCTGTCTCTTCTTCCTGCACACGGCCCCAAAACACACACCAAAGCCGCCCCATGCCGCCCCAAAACACACACCCCACGATTTCCCCCGCCGCGCGCTTCCGCGCGAGGAAACAGTGAAAAACCACAATTGAAATGCTTGTTGAGCACTCAGGGCTTGGGAAAGGATCTCAAGACCCATTGGCTTGCAGATTCAGGTGCCACTTGTATCAGATCTATTGATCCCAGCGGCTTGATCGCCGCCGGGAAGGGGCAAGCGTCAAAGCTGTCGTAGCCGGAGAAGCCTCGGTTCTGAGTCGCTGTCCGTCGCGACGGACAGGGCGACGGTTTGACGGGGGTTCTTCGGCGACGGGTTTGGCGGCGAGACCGGTTGGTTGGGGAAGAGAACCCAGACACGACTGATTGGACTGGAATTGATCTACTAATTTTATCTACATTGGGGTGGTTTCAGGGGTCAATGTAGGTATATTCCGTGTATGGAGTATGGTGTTTGGGGAAGTGATACGAAGTCAAAGAAAGGATCGAGCATGATCGAGGCACTTTGGAGGGTAAAAGCGGAGAAACGATGGCTGGGATTGGTGAACTGTTTGCGTTGGGCTCATGAAAGACTCCTTGGCTCCCACAAAATTTGAGATGGGACGCAGAGACAAAATGAAAAAAAACTGCTCAATCACCAAAAGTTCCGTTCTCGAGAGCATCTGCCTCTTTTGACGATCTTGTCAAGTGATATCTTCCAAATGAGTCACCATTTGCCCATAGGTATTTTTTGAGGTTCCCGGGCCGGGATGTTTGACCATGGGGTATGCTTCGGAGGTATGCTTTGGGGTATGCTTCGCACAGTGTGAAGATAAAAGTAATAGCGTTTTCAGAGGGTATTCGGGGTATGCTTCGCCACAGTCGAACATCCCAGCCCTATATAAACTGGACACCTTAAAGAAAGACGAACCCGTCCATGACCATCCATCGTTCCCTGATCATTGCATGGTTCCCCCTAGTCTGACATGAGTCACGTGAAAACGCACGCATCTTCCCCCAGCCCCGTGTCGCCGTCGACCTCCGCTCCGAGCCGCTGGGGAGGATTTGTCCCATGGGATCTTGCACCTTCACCTCCTGATCCTCGGCGCAAGGACAGGGGGGGATCGCACCGGATCGCACCGGATCGCGTGCGTTTGGACAAACGGAGGTCGATGGAGTTATAGGGCACTTCAATGTCTTTTAGAAGTTGGAGCATATTTGGGTGGGTGCTCCCAAACTAGAGGTCTACATCTCTCGAGTCGACCTGGTCACGTCGACGTGTTCGTGAGCCAGGACCTTTTTACGGGACTCGACCGTTGGTCTTTGGGTGCCTTTTTTCTGCATCATAGACCTGAACGGTGCAACTTCAATGAAAAGAACATGGAAGAACCATCGAACGGCGCGTCTCGCGGCGCGTCGCGCGTCTCGCTGGGCCCCCAAATCACTCTCGTTTTGCCTCATCGTTCGAGGTGACGGACCTATAGAGCCTCCGGGATCGGTCCCAAGGATTCAGGTCGTTTCTCAGCCATCATCGGTGTGGTTCGGGACCTGGAAGTCTGGCTGTGAACCAAAACGATGCATTTGGGAAGAAGACGAGTTTTGAGGGAAGAAGACATCACCATCATCCACATTGAGCTGTGTTGAGACTCCCTCCCCCCCATCTCGCCTCCCCCCAGCCCTCCAGTTCTCTCGGCCACGTCTCGGCGCAGGTCTTTCCCGTGGCGCCGGTCGAGAAGTTGGTCGCCAGCTCTTCCATGGAGGGAAAGTGGCTCCCGTTCACCTGGGCCGCCCCCCGCCCCGCTGCCGGCGTCTGGACCGGCGCTGCAGTCAAGAGACCCTGCTTCTGGTTGGCTTCTTCACCGAGCATGCACAGATTTTTGTAGAGAGGGATGTCCACCTTCCATGCTTTGGTTGCTTTTGAACCATTTGACCGTTCTCAGTTTCGTGGTGGATGGTGACTTCCAGCTTGGAGTAGTACATGAGTCCAAACGGACGTTCTGGGGGTCTCGGTGTTCTCCATGGTGTCATGCGTCGCCGAGTGGTCCGCAAGTGGTCGGGGGTGAGACAGAGGCAAAACAGGTGGTCTTTTCAGATGTTTTGAAAGGACTCTTAGTTCCATCATCCTGTTCTTTACAGGGTATATCTACCATGGTAACAGTGCTGGGTTGTGGATGATGATGGTTCATTAGGTTGCAGGACTGTCTGAAAAAATTGTAAATTTGACTTGACGCTGTATATAGCTGCTAATTGACGAGCGCGACCCCCTAGTTCTAGCTCTTTGCTCAGCCACACCCGATTTCAACTCCACTTCACCTTGGCCTCCGCACCCCAACCTGCGTCATCGCCGCGCTCAGCGCGGCGCCCGCCGTCTGCGCCAGCGCCGGCACGTGCGCCACGTGCGGCGCCGTGTGCGGCGCCGTGATGGACGGCGCGACCGGCGGCAGCGAGGCCACGCCCAGCAGCCCGGAGAGCGTCGTCGCCACCGGCGCCGGCGCGGAGGCCTCGTCGAAAGGAAGGGGGAAGGTGCATCTCCACCTGTGCATCAAGGAACAATTCGGAGGTGCGCTCCAAGACTTCATTGAAAGTGCTTGTCGAGGGAATAGATGCATGGTTGTGTTGAGCGCCACTCCTGCACACTCTGCTCAGTGACCTTGCCCCCATTGCGAGTGCCCATTGAAATTCTAACACCTTAAAGGGTCGTCATCCTCCACAGTTTGTCACAGACCAAAGCTCTCCACTATCAGATGCCTTGCAATATTGCGCACCCCACGCTCGGGAGGATTTCACGGATAAGTACCTGTACACAGGGCTGTTCATCAATTTGGCATTGTCCAGCCAGCAACGACGTCCAGCATTTTGTCCCTTGAAGATGACGTCTAAAACAAGTCGAGGTCAGGTGTTGCTACAGTTGCGGCGGTTGTCGTGGCAGCTTCTTCTTCTTCTTCTTCTGTGCGCGCACGGTGTTCGAGAACTCAGCGCCTAGCTAGACAAATTCTTAATTAATGACGGGTGAAAGTCTGGACCTTCTTTCTGTACATTGCCGACCTCCGTAATGTGCATGGCTTTCAGCCAATCTGCATTTTCCGGAGGTGGTCCAGACTTCATGTTTGCCCCTTTCAACCAACTTTCAAACAACCGGGCAAGAAAGTTGCACAAATCCGGCGGGTATTCCTTCAAGGAGCTGGTAGCCCAATCCTTCCCGCAAAGACCGATAGTTGTTGAAGTGGGGCAAACAGTGGTCCTACTCCTCTTCTCAAGCGTTGCTGTCGTCTCGTGCGACAAGCCTGCGATGAAAAAGGTAGTAGGCTTAGGGCTTTTAGCTCCAAAGTTTCCTTGGAAAAGGGTGAGACTGTGAAAAAGGCCCGTCTTCCTCAGCCAGTCGACAATCACCGTCTCCCAGATGCTTGGAGCTTGTTGGTGCTTGGTGTGGAGGTCGTGCGGATTGCACGGGTGTTCAAGAATTGCGAGTCCTCCAACAAGCGCCAATTCTAGTATTGAATGCAGGGCGAAACACATAAGCTGGTTTCCTACCGCTAGCTGCTGCCCTTCTCTCAGGCTGACATGTACGAAACCCCATGGCTCTTGCTTGGACCGTAACGGACGCGGGGGATGTTTGCATCCCTCTACCGGCTGGAACCTTGCAATTGTCCAAGTCTCGCACGGTGGCCCGGCATAAATAGCTGCTATCATCCCCAGTCTGATTAGCTTCAAGATGGCTGTTTGCTGCCCTACATCTGTTAAATTGCCATGGTCGGCAGACACCATGACATCTAGTGAGATCACGAACAGCACAGCATCATTGGGGATAGTGAGGTGCTCCAGTGCCTGCTGGAGGTCGTTGGTACGCCTCCGGCCACTGAAAAAGTGAAGGACATACATCTCCGGAAAGGTACTCGGCACTTGAGGACTTGCCCGCATGACTTGAATTTTGGCTCTGTCATCTTCCCGTTCCAGAGATTCCGACAAAGTATTGTCTATGTTGTCCTTCAGTCGCGTACATGAGACTTCGTGGATGGTTTGTTCAATGGCTTCACGGATTGTGCTCTGTTCTACTTCAACGAAGTCGAGCGCCCAGATCCGGAGTACATTCAGGATGTCATCGATTGGCATGACCCGATAAGCAACCGTCGTCAGCGTGTCTGCGAGCGCTGCAACGAATCTTGATTCATCCTCAGGAGGTGCGAAGTCTCGGAGCGCTTCCTGTAGATCACTTCGGAAGAGTGCTTCATCACGCTGAATCGGGGCTGGAGGTACCTGTTCGGTACTTCGAACTCGAGTCCATGGAAACTGTGGATGTTTAGTGGCTGCTCCTGCCTGATCTTGGAGGTGTTCATGATTCTTCCAAAAATATGTGCAACACGCACGGCTGTATCGAAGGTGGTTCTTGAGAGACGCTGACGTTGGATATTGTTTGGCGCAGCACCAACAAGTTGTCCCCGTGACGGCCTCTCCTTCCATGGTTTTGTAAGCGTGTACAACATGAAGAAACCAGGCATTTTTCCGGTCGAATCCTTTCTTACATAGCAGGCAAAAATGTTTCCATTCATGAGCCCGCGTGCCTTGAGTGCATAGTGAGCACCGGGTTAAGGCGTTCAACACTTGTTGATGTGATCTAGTCACTTGTTGCTCTCTTAGGCGGTAAAGTCTCCATCGTTCTGCAGCTCGACGAACTGTCGACTTCCACCGCTTCGGTGAGAGGGCACAGAGCAATTGGCAGGCTTGGCTTGGTGTCGTATTACAAAAGCCCCTCTCCCTCTGAAGGGCAGTGTATACCCATTCAATTGCATTCCTGTACATCTCAGCAGTCGGCTGGTCAAGGTGCGCTGCTGTCCATACTGGGTCCGGCGCATGTAGGAGCATGGTGACGTAATGCCTTGCCCTAGCTGCTTGGAGGAGGTCAACTGGACACGGGCAATCGAGAGTTCGGCATAGCGTCTCATTGGAAATTTTGCCGTCCTGTCTGGGTGCCCGGAGGCGTTGTAGATTCCAGTACGAAGTCTGGAAGTGTTTCATATCTGCCTTTGACATGGCTGGCCAGGCTCCAATTCCCCAGATATAAACCGTCATCACTAGAGCTTGGAACAGCTGTGCTTTGACCTTATCGGCAACATGTCTTTGTCGAAATATTGCTTTCGCAGACCTCCAATAAGCTTGTCTAGCTTTAGCAAAGCGCATGGAAATCTCGGCCGCTAATGTGCCTTTGAATGTTAAAATTCCTCCCAAATGCTTGTACTGTGGCACTAGTGGCAATTTGAGTCCCTCCTTTTCTGTGAGAACAGGAAGTTCAGATTGTGCGTTCTGAAACATTCGCCTTCTTGTCTGCACAGAGCCGGGCCCTCGTAGTAACACTAAAGCCGCCGTTTTGGTCGGGCCACAGGAGATTTCCATTCCAATGGCATGGAGTTCGTCGACCAGTACTTGCATCACACGGGGAAGAGTACTCCATATCATTTGTGGCTTGTCCACAGTAATCATGAGAGCAATATCATCAGCCCATGTAACTTGAAGGAGGGGCATTGTCGCTCCACCTGTAGGCTTGTTGGGGCAGATAGTTCGGTCATATTTGGCCACTAAGGTCACTAGTGAGCTTTTCTCTAGTATTCTTTGAACTTTCTGCAGAACCTGCGATAGAAGTACATTGAATACAACATCTGCCCAACTATCCCCTGGACGGGTACCTTGCTCTGTTCCTACAACTGCTTCTCCGTCAACAGAAAACCAAGTAGCTTGCAGGCTTTCTTGGAGGACTTGCTGTCTAGGTACTGATTCTGTGAGGGCAGCGTATGCTGTTCTACCTTGCAAAGCTTCAGATAGCGCTGGCATGACTTCCGGACCAAGTCCTAAACGTTTGACAATTTGGGCAATGTCTTGGTCAGATGTATCAGCCCCTGTTGCTATTTCTCTCAAAGCTTTGTAGAAGGCAGAAGCAATGTCAACGAATAGCACAGCTGCACTTTTGTTATTGCTTTTGCACCATCGTAAGAAAGACCTTGTGAGTTGCGCCCCAAACTGTGCTTGCTGGTGGGGTTTCCCTCCGAGCTGCATGGAATGGCCGGCTACTAGATATGGCTCATTGATCCACTTACGCAAGCTTGCTCGGGTGATCTTCCCCATGACATTCATGAGCAAAATTCCTCGATGGCTTGAACACTCTGCTGTTGACCCTTTCCCTTTATAGAGCGCGAAAAGGTGTCCACCCTTCCAAGTGAGGGGCTCCTCTATTCTCAGAGCCAATTTCAAGGCTAACGGGTAAAGGATTTTGGACGCTTTCCCTGGGATGGCCTTAAAGAGCTCTACCGGAAGACCGTCAGGTCCGGTCGCTTTGCCTGCTGTAGCAGCTCTGATTGCGCTTTCTACGACAAACAAGGACGGGATGTCTTCTGGATCATAGCTCGTTGGCTTACACCTGTCCATCTGTCGCTGCAAGTGTTCATGCACAAACTGACCGACCTGGATGGTCTTTCCAGCCTCAATGGAAGCGAAATGACTTGTCCATCGTTGGTTTTGCGCTGCTCTGCTCATGATGGGTTGTCCCTCTGTATCTAGCAGTTTGGGTAGCGGTCGCAAGACTGTTGTCTGCTTCTTAGTGGGTCGAAGAACAGGTCTGAGCTTGCGATACACCTCAGCAGGTGGGCATTCGCTCACTTCCTGTGCTACCTTGGAAAGGAAATGGTTCCTATCCTGCCGAAGGCATACTTTGAGCTTACTTGCAAGCTTCGATGTTTGTGCAGCTAGTTGAGCATACTTCTGATTGAAAGCTATTGTCCAAGTATTCGAGCCACAGTATGCGAATTTCTTGGCCCAAGTGGAAAACGCTACGTACAGGACCTGGTATCTCTCTATCAGTCGAAATTGCCTCAGAGCACGCTTATTGGCAACCAGTAGAGAGTATACTTCTCGAGTATCATTTTGTGTGAATTCTGGCGTTTTACGTCTTGGTGCTGGGAAATGCTTACCTAGTTCTTGTTGAAAATATTGCGTGAGCTGGACTGCATGATCACTTGCGTTCGTGGACCAAGCAGGCTGAGGACATCGGTCCAGTATATCAAAGATCTTGGCCTTGTTAGACGGATCCATCATAGCCATGGCATCTAGTCGGATTTTCTTTTGCTGTGTTTGGTACCCCTGTTCCCAATATACATCCACTACCGTGGCTATATGATCCCACCCTGGGTGTCCGGTGGAAAGCTCCAGGTCGGTCCATGCTTCTATCCATGCTTTGCTCCAAAGGACGTCGAGCAAGACGTAGTCTAAGCGATGTTCTTTCCCGGAGCCAGCGTGAACCCACGTAAACCAAGGGCCCCATTGTGCTTCCGAAAAAGTGGCCGGTGCAAAAAGTCTATGCTTTTCTACGAATCCTTGGAAGTATGGTGTATTGGCATTAGGGCGAGTTTCCACTAAATCTCCCAGACTGGCTGTTGGCGGTCCTGCCCAAACCGCGTTTGCATCTATCAGGATGAGAGGGATTGCATCCTGCTGGTGCTTGTCGATTTGCTCTCCT